ACAACTTAAAAATTCTAAACCAACAATGAAACTTACGATTAAATTATATTACTAAAATAAAAGCTTCACTTAATTTATGACAGTTCATAACTGCATGTTCAAAATATTAAATACTAGCTTTTGCCAGCGGCTCCACCCACGTAAATATCGGTTATCGCGATAAAAAGTCTCTATAACAAATCTTTCCTCAAGAATCTAAGTATCTTCATACTAAATTTCATCTTAATCGGTTCAGCGGTTTAAGCGTGACAGACAGACAAACACACTTTTGCATTTATACTATTAGCATGAAAACCTATTTCACTAAAACAATGCAACGAAAGAACTACTTAACACCGGTTTTCTGTAAGGCCGTAACATCACTCCAGTCGAGCTTGGCCCATGTGTACTGTAGCAAGTCTCTTACACAAAAATGGAAGCCGAAACAAAGCACACAAACTGATTGCACAAAACACCTTACAATTGTGAGTTCGTCCTGGTGCTATGACTCTTATAAGTTCTGCTCAACAGAGCAGATTAGTAGTGCAATGTCAGTTTGTGAATTCCTCTCATAAATAAAGTTCGTAAAATATATAAAATTCTACAATAAAAATGGCATCAACATTAATTTATTCGTTTCATTCTGTACATGACACAAGATGATCTGAACGCGTAGTCCGATTAGTCAATCCGTCCAGTAGAACAATAAGAACATTTTTCTTATTGCTTTTGATCATGCGATAAAAATAAAAGAGTATCCATTTTTTCACAGCACCGCAGCCGATTTGTTTTTTTTTATGGTATAAAGGAGCAAACGAGCAGACGTGTCACCTGATGGTAAACAACTACCGTCGCCCATGGACACCTGCAACTCAAGAATTGCTTAACACCGGTTTTCTGTGAGGCCGTGGTATCGCTCCGGTCGAGTCGGCCCATTCGTGCCGAAGCATGGCTGTCCCACAGTAAAATCAAAAACGTATTTAATCAAAAACCTCTATATGTTCTCATGTCTATGACAGTTGATGGGATCTGCGTAGTTAGTGTAGAATTCCAGCTGATGCCAGTAATTTGTTTAGGTTTACAACCGGTCCCTGAAAGGTTAATCAACGTAAAAATTAACGTATCGTTTGAAAAGTATATTTTCGCTGTCGAGCGTTGATTAGGCTCTTTGATTTGATCATTTGATCAGTAAACATAGGTGTTAAAATAACTTCAAAATATGTCAAATTCCATACGTTTTTCCCATGCCGTTAGATTTTTTTTTCTTTGATCAGTAATTCAGGAACCTGAACTGATTTGACAACGCTGTTTATTTGAAAGTTGTATTAATTGAACAATATTTCGATCAGCCTTTCTTTGAAAAAAAAGGGAATGGACATATGTTATGTGTTGTTTATTTCATTATTTCAGGTTGCTGGTCAAATATTTAAGCAAATTATACAATACATATTTTGTATAGCTGGCAATACGGCGCATAATATATGTATATAGGCTAATAAGATATTTATAGTCGTTGTATAAAGGATTCTAAGTATTAGATAGAGATTCTAATAATAAAAAAAATCTGCTTGAATTTATTCTAAATTTCTCACTTATATGGAATAAGTGAAAAATTTACGAGTAGAATTAATCACCTGAATCAACCACATCGGATTTTTATATGTATTCTAATTTATTATTTATTTATGGTTGTAATATATGTTTTATTATAAGAATGACAAGAGTACGAGTACGAGTTTTGACAGCTCTACTTGAACGCGTGGCTTGAAGCCTCATGCCACTGGAGGTTTCGTATTTTTATTGTATTCCAAAGCTCTTGTTATTCTCGTAACGCATTAAAACAATCAAATTCTTCTTGTGAATGAAGCAACATATAGATTTTTAAAACTTCCGATATAAATATATATATATAAATTCCAATACGAGATGTATCCGCACCGTACGGAACTACTCGATCACTAAGATAATTTAACAGCCATCCGTTACTACATATAAACATTTCATTTTATTTTACTTTGGAGAATTTCAGGGATTTTACAGGAATATATCTCTACAGTTCTCCAAATTAAATATATTACAAAACTCGTTTCACGCGCATTCCTGTCCGTGTGACCTGAATTTTTACTAATAGCTGCCAATGATAAAACAATACCTACATACTTCTCACGTTATTGAAATAGTTCTACATAGAGATCGTATTATCGCCAAATACGACTGACCATCAACAACATGGATAGCTAATATTCAAATAGATAAATCAAGTGTCTAGTCGTACTGGGTTTTTGCACGGGGAAGATTGATAGCAATTTTCTTTTGCAAAAATTCTTATAGATGTTGATCGTTGGCTATTACATAGTCACTGACAGGGCCTTTGTACGAATGATAATACGGTCCGAGGGTGGGCCGTGATTGCAGAACTGGGATGTGTTCCACTTGAAAAGTAGCTTGGTCACGTCCGCAGTTCGTTTCTCAGCTCCAAGCGGTAAACAATGAGATATACAGATACACAAAAGTAGGATACTGATACGAACCATCGATCATTTGTTCAAATCACGACCTGTTATGTAATCGTGTTATTGTTCTAATACCGTATTCCGCGACATTTGTTTCCTGATATTAAAGTAATGTCAAAAGAAATTGATGTTCTGTTACCTAAAGTTATATTTTTACATTATTTTGGAAGCTAAATATTGCGTGACTGAAATTTCACTTGTTATTCGCGGAAATACGTTTTCAATGTTGCGGAAACGAAATATACAGCAGGATAATTTTATCTATGGATATTTATATATATTTTAATCAACTTTCTTCAGTTTTGTTGCAATTTAAAATTCAATCGATTATAATATGATCGAATCGATTTAACATGACGAATCTTTCAAATGCCATTAATAACTTTTTGTTTATGATATTCTATTTATTTTTGACTGAGTTGTTGGTCTAGTGGTTAGTGATCCTAACTGTTAAGCTAGAGGTGGGTTCTATTCCTAGCTGGGACATATAATTGCACTGCAACGGATGCAGTGACTGCACGGATGGCGTAGTAGTTTAAGCGGTCACCTCGCCGCTTCCTACTGCACTGAGTGTTGTGGGTTCGATCCCCACGTGGGACAACACTTTGTGTGATCCACAAATTGTTGTTTTGAGTCTGGGTGTTCATTGTGTCCGTTTCATGGATGTTTGTAAAGTCCCCCGCGACTCAAAATTTATTCCTAGAGCGGGAGTTGTCTTTTAAAAAAAAAAAAAAGTGATAAGCAGCATCATTTGTTCTGTGTCTGGGTGTAATTTATCTATAATATACACCATATTGAGAAATATATGAGCATGTTTATTAGCGGTCTGGTCATGATAATACAGACTCTGCCTAAGTTGGGATCTAACGGCCTTGTGTAAGATGTGTGAAGTTATTATTCTCATAGATTATAGATATTTCTAAACTTTCGTCTTACTCCTTTTATTATGTACTCTATAAGCAAAATTATACACTTCACTTCTTATTACACTTTTTTATTAGTTTATATATTGGTGCGTATTGTGTTTTAAGTAAATCCTCTATACTGACACAAAAAATCACTAAAAGTTTGGTTTACTTCCTTCAAATAACGTTTCGCATTCTAAAAGCGTAGGACTAAACTAATTTTAGTTTGACAGAACCAAAATTAGAGAAGTCCCCCAGCTTATCTATATTTACTCATTTTTAACTGCCTTTAGGTTCTTTACCTTCATCATTGTCTAAAATTAGAAACGTCACTAACATTAGACGTCTCGAAAATTCTATAAATTTTTTGGATGTAAAGTCCATTTTTCCATTTTACTTTGATCAGTAGATATATATATATATATATATATATATATATATAGATATTAGGTATATATAGATAGATAGAACAATTGAATACTATGCATACAGTATAATTAAATATTAATGAATTACTTATTTCTGTTGTTCACGCAGACGTTTTCAAAATTATTTATCCAAAGAAATTTGTTATCGTTATTTGAAACGTCAAGTGGCACATCTAAAATCAAACATGATATTAATTTGTATAATGACTTAAAATATTTAAAAAAATAGCCTGTAAAAGTTATTTAAATACTAAAGCTGTCAATATCATTTGTTTACCTCACAATTTAAGTTAAACTAAAAAATATTTCAGTTAAGACTTTGTGAATATGCTGGTGTTCCATCAAACTCAACTTCGTTTTCATTTAGTATCGTACCGAAAGGGTCATTTTGAAGATTTTAATAATAATAAGGTCTCGACACATCTCGCACGTCCGTCTGATTCTAAACTAGGTAGAGCCTATACTATTTCTAAAGTTCTTATATGTTTCTAAATACAAACAGGTTATGGGTAAATTACACTGACACAGAACAAATCTCGTTCTCATCGCATCGATTTTCGTCTTGTGTGAGAACCAAACCTACGGAGTGTAGAGTGACTAACTACTAGACTAACTAGTCAACACATATAAATATACTACCAGTATCGTACTCGTGTCAACACATTCAGTCATAATCTTTTGATTTTATCTGTGTTTTATTGACAAATTTAGCCAAAAAGCAGTTATTATGCCTAAATTAATATAGTTAGATGTTATAGCCTACCGGATTAGTTTTTTGTTGGAAGTCATTCTGTAGTCAGTACAGTAGTATAAATAAAATAAATAGTAGGTGCATTACTTTATGTATAATCAGTAGTTTTCGCCGCACACCCTAAATAACGGCCTACGAGTATATAACCAAATTACTACAAATTCTTGATACCTACCTTATGGCAAATTTCCGATTCGACTTGCTTAAGATCCTTGTTTTTGAAAGTAAATTACAACATATGTACATATATACATACATTCATGTCACTAACTGCATTAAAACATTTCGCTTATATTATGAATCAATTTCACAAGCAATTAATCATGAATTGCTAGTTATGATCGTGCCTGTCCCTACCAGATGATGTACTGTGTCTTTATATTCTCAACAAGTAAATGTTTATTCAAAGTATATCTTGTTACAGGTGCTAGAGTATTGAACGGACTCTTATAGGAGAGACATTAACAGAGTGCGCGAGTGTGTCTTCTAGGTACTAGTCATAACAAGTGCCTGAATATATTCTGTTAGACAACAGAAGATGAACAAGTCTGACGGTATAGTGTAGTGAACTGAACATTTGTGTTGCATTATCTTGTGAACTGTACGCGTATTGAAGTGAAGACAGTGTTATTTACTTCAAAGCGCTTCGGTGGTCTACGATTATGATTTAAAGGTAAGTTTTGCTTGAACATTCAGTTGCATAGGCTTAATTAAGATTTATTTTGTGTGGGTACAGAGAGTCTTGATCTTTTCTTCTTATTTAATACTAAGTAGTTGAGCATGAAATACCGTAGGTTTGGTGTAATTTGCTCCTTAGCCGTAAAGATACAGGTTTCTATTCCAAATTTTTTTGTGGCACCTTCGAGATTGAACGGTATACTTGAAGATTAATATATTGACGAAAAAAATTAGCAAAACATAATATTTTAAAGGATTTCAATAGATTCAGGCCATTGCTACAATGAAGTGAAATGGAATTTGCTCTTCCACCTTTAAAATATTTGTACGATTCGAGCCGGCAGTCATAAAAATTGATGAATGGACACAAAAAGATTTATCATGAACCCGCAAATGATCATTACTTATGCGCAGTCAGGATTTTAATCAAAATATCCATCAATTTTCCTAAAACTGGGTCATAATTTCATTTAGAATTTAGGCAATAACATCAAGAAATGACTTGTCTGTATTGAAACGAAAAGGTGTTTGAGTACAACGGCTAAAGAAACACTTTTTAAACAAATGTTTAGTCTATGATTATAATTTAATATATTAATTTCCTTGTTTATCTGTTGTAGAATGAGATCGAATGGTTACAACTATTATAACACTGGCGTTGCGCCAACTGTCGCGACAATAGCCATGGCCTTTCTAGAGGTGGATTGTATCAGTCTAAAGATAGTGTGAGATGTAATTATGAGCATAATAAAACCATCCATCGGTTACTGCATAAAGATCATTCTCAAAAGTCAAATTCAAGCTTTAAGTTATTTTAGTGTAAACAATTGTGAGCAATATCAAAATTTTTACTAATCGCTAAAATATGTTACGTTATCCTACACACCTATTGTGTGTAACTAACCTAAGTTACAATCCCAAAAAAAATATACCAAAACCCTTTACAGTTCATTATGAAATTTAATATGAATCATGCTGAACAGATCTCCGCCCTTACGGGTTCTTTCTGTTTCAAAAATATAGCGTTAAAAAATACGAAGTATAATTTGACTTACAATATTAAGTATAGATGGTACGTAAAGAGCAATAAAGTAAACTTAGTAATAATGTATTCACCCCTTAATTTGAAATGCATGTTACTTCGCTATTAACATGCTCTATCAGATTAGTACCTAGCTTAGAATGGAAGTTAATAACACAATAAATGTATGCACAAAGGTTTTATCAAACGGTAAAATATAGAGTAATGTTAGATAAGTTTGCACCGCACACACCTTAGGCACTGCTTATAAATACAGCAAGAATAAAAAAAAACTTTTGGTCTTTGAAAACTACTAAATTCTGGATATTTTTGGTATGGCTTAGTATTTTAAGATAATTTTATCAATCTAATCTTTGACAAGTTTCACATCAGTTAAGTTTATCCTCCTAGATTTAGCAGTTTTGTTCATGATTAGTTTTGTGTCAACTTACTAAGAAAATTAGAACTATGATAGCTGCCTATATTTCCGCTATAATTCTGAGAAATGACTATTATTCATAAATCGTCAAGCGTGATGTAATCGATTTATCATCTATAGCTGATTGCGAATACATTGCTTTTCTGCTGCGTCCGACAAAGCGATTCGATTATAAATGAAGAAAGCAGAAGTAACTAAGACATCCCACGCAATGTCGTAGTATAATAGGAAGACTAGACGTGCGCAACCAAACCGACTGACATGTAATTGGATTTCTACTTCTCTCTCGTTTTTCAACGTTAAAACACACATTTGTTACTAATCCACTCTTCTGTCCAGTATTTGAATATGTTTTTCTATAAAGAGAGATAAGCCTACAAAATAATCAAAACTGTTTGATCGGTATTACAAACCCTTAACTTTTTCATCACAAGAAATACTTTGGCCTAGAAACTATTTGGCCCGAGAACTCAAGTTGGAATGAATTCTTTCATTTGAGATTTTGCCCACCAAAAATAGTTAGGTTGCAGGAAAATAAACGTGAATTTTAAACATTTACTTATGCAGTGGAGTAGTACAGTACATTTAAATATTAATACCTATCTTTGTGGTCTTCCGAAGTTATCTCTTTGTTACGGCTCTGACTTTGCGTTCATTGCGCTTCAGTCCTGTCGCAGATGAAATTGTGAAAATTGTTTCTAAACAGCTGAGTTGACAGTGTTTACTAGAGTGCTGACAAATGATACGTTCGAGTCTTGGCAATCGTTTGCTTTAGTGCATCTACAAGATGCAACCATTTCATTAAATAATGCTTGCCTGTCACTAAGAAAACATGATAACTTTGGTATATTATCTTTGCTTGCCAAACCCGTTTTTATTTAGACGCATTGAAGGCAAAAACAATTTTCAAAGTTAATTATAGTAATGGATCATCAACATCATCATCATCAACAGCCTATACTAGTCCACTGCTGGACATAGGCCTCTCCTTAGAAAGGGGGTTTTGGCCTACTATACCACGCTGGCCAGACGGGTTGGTATAGGGTTTGTTTCAAGTTTTCCTTCTCTTTGCAGTGCTGTTGTCCTGCTTAGTTTGCTCCCTTAGTAGGCTCTTACGACACCCACGGGATGAATTGGGGATTAAGATTGGGATTGGGATATAGTAATGGATAATATCATTAAAATGTTTTAAACTGTAATGCAGTCTTGGAAAGTTCTACTTCTGCCTTCAGTTCATCAATTTCTGTTGTTTATTATGGTTTTGGCAAGCATCTCTTGTAGGATCCTAAAAAGCTTCTAATTTAAAAATATTCCTTAAAACCTTAGTGCCCTAATAAATAATTATTACATCGTGCAGTAACAGAAAAGGAAATATAATATATTGGTGTTAACGTTGTTTCAACATTCAAATCCGTAGAAAACAAAACCTGTCAATTATAACATATCTCAATATTTGCCCAAATACAATCGCATGGTTATCCAAACATCGATGATAAATGAATAACAAATCCATTTGAATATCGATTCACATGTTTAAATAAAATCCAATTGCCTTCGTTTTAAAAACTTTAAAAACTATTCAATTCAACTATATGTGTTTACAGTATATAAACTCAAACTCAAACTCAAACTTTCTTTATTTCATAAAATTTTCAAAATTGTTTGAAATCGTCTTCCATGTAGACTCTAAAGTCATAGATCAACACACACAAAAGCAACAATCTCTGTTTTGTCAAATAGTAACCAAATAAATTTTACAAAATCAAACCCATACAAAATCTATGATATGCCTGTGCCGATCTACAACCGCCCGTTTCCAAGGGGTTGAGCCTTATGAGAAGAAAGGGCAAACAAACTCATGGCCACTCTTTTGCAATTCACAAGTAGATACAATGGCACTATTAAATATATCACAACATTGTTTTGATGTGTGCTAGTATGTCCGTTATTAAGGACTTAAAGGTGAAAAAACAACGAAGAGAAAACAAGATTAAGAAGAACAAACGAATACAAGAGAAAATGAAGTGAAACATAAAAAATAGAAAAAATAATAAAAAACATACTAGCCACACCACATTTTTACTTAAGAAAGAAATAGCCTGCGCTAATTAATCCCAAGCATTCTTGTCCTCCATGTAATCCACAATCGAGTAGTAGGCCCTCTGGCACAAGCCACGTTTTATTGCGGATTTAAATTTGTTAATACTCAACTCCTGAATATTATTTGGGATTTTATTATAAAATCGGACACATTGACCTCGAAAAGACTTGTTTATCTTTTGGAGCCTAGAGGCGGGTACAACAAATTTATTTTTATTTCTGGTATTTATGGCATGTACATCACTTTTTTTCAAAAAGCTATCTTTATTTTTGTGAACATATATTACATTTTCATAAATATATTGACTTGCCACTGTCATTATATTTATTTCTTTAAATTTCTGCCTCAATGAACAACGATTGCCTAAATTATAAAGTGCTCGAATAGCTCTCTTTTGCAGCACAAAAATGGTTTGAATGTCGGCAGCATTCCCCCACAGCAGAATACCGTACGACATTATGCTATGAAAGTAACTGAAGTAAACAAGTCGTGCTGTATCAACATCAGTCAACTCTCGGATTTTCCTTACTGCGTATGCTGCTGAGCTGAGTCTACTCGACAATTTATCAATATGTGGGCCCCACTGTAGCTTAGCATCTAGTGTTATACCTAAAAATGTCGTAGTGTCCACAAGGTCCAGCCCGACATCCTTAATTATCACAGTAGTTTTCACTGGCTTGACGTTTGGCATAGTGAAACGTATACACTTAGTTTTTTGTTCATTTAATAGTAAATTGTTGACATCAAACCAATGAACCACTTTCGAAATGGCGCTGTTTACAAATGTGAAATCAGAAAGTGTCCGTTTTAGTCTAAATAATAGTGATGTATCATCTGCAAACAACACAATCTCGAGATTGTCCTTGACAAAGTGAGGTAAGTCGTTAATATATACTAAAAACAAAAAAGGGCCGAGAATAGAACCCTGTGGAACGCCCATTTCTATCACAGAGCCTGGAGACCGCTCACCATTAATATCAACTTTTTGAATCCTATTACATAGATATGAGGCAAGTAGTTCCAGGGCTTTATTTTTGATACCATAGTGCTGTAATTTCCTGATCAGCGTTTCATGAACAACACAATCAAAAGCCTTAGATAAATCGCAAAAGATACCTAGAGAATCGTGGGCATCCTCCCAGGCATCAAATATATGTTTTACTAGCTCAACACTAGCATCAGTTGTGGAGCGACCCCTTGTAAAACCAAATTGT